TAGATATTTATACCAGCTTTATTCATGGGTAAAAACTGGAAATCAAAATGTCCATTGACACATGAATAGTTAAAACATAATATTTATGTAAAATATTACTACTCAACAATAAAAACAAATTAATTGATTAAACAATGTGGAGAAATCTCAATATCTTAATGAAAAAGGTTAGATACAGAAGTATCTATTGTATGACTCTACTTACATTAAATGAAATCGATGGGACTGAGTGCAGTGAGGCAGGAGGGGCCTTTTGAGCATGAGGGAAGTGTCTGTGTCTTGTCTGAGGTGATGGTTTGTAGGTGTACACTACTATGAAAACTCGTTGAGCTGTATGTGCTGAGCGGCTGTAACTTCCGGTGTGTAGATTATTCCTCAAACTGGCAAGGTCAAACTTTTAAAATTTCAATTTTGAAATAACTTCAGATATCTGGCTAAATTCCTACTACTTTAAATTACAAAAGGGAGGTTGCTATTTCTCTTAGACCATGGCTTCTCTTAATGAAACAAATGTCTGTCTGTGTTAAAAATCTTTAGGTAGCAAACACAGCAGAGCCTCTAATTTAGTCTTAATGCCACAGGAAAATGACTTTAATGCAGTTATCAAAACCAAACTCATCAAGCAGCTGCTCATTCTGGCCCGTTCTCTAAGACGCTGGAGTCTGACAACTGCTCACAGTACAGAGGGGATGCCCAGTCCCCTACCTAGGTCTTTCTGGAATCTTCTAAGAAGTAATGAATCTCTATCTTCTTTGTTTGGATTGTTAACATTTGGTGTTTCCTGAGAACACATATGGCTAGACTACCTTTCCAAGGGAGCTTGACATTGATCCCTGGTAAACTCTAGTAGGAAATTTTAAACAGATGGCTTGTGAGCACTTAGCAAAGGAACCTGATACCCTTGTGTACACGGCTGAGAAATGTAGGCCCGTTGGCAGCCTCGTTAAGTTGATTTCTAACTGGTTCAAGACTTATATACCCAATCAGTGCAGATGGTTGTCAACCTGGACAGATGCTGTCTAGATGCCAAAGGATATTGATCACTGTGGCCTTTTTAGTTTTGGCATATTTATTGCTTACCCATTCTTTATAAGGCTATTATAAAATTTATTATATGCAAATGAAGACATACTATGTGTGCTCATATATATAAGCTCATATAAGTGCTCATATATAAGCTCATATAAATGCTCAATGATAATCGGACAGTCACAAATTCTCTTGTTTAATTTGAGATGTAGACTAGCATTACTAGCACTGATAACGTCTGTGTGCTGTTCTCTGATCTTCGGAGGAGGCCTTGCCACGTTGAGTTTCCTTATCACTCTTTCCCCTTTAAAAAGTACTTTACTACTTTAAGTGATATCTTGTTGTTTTAATTTTCCTGAGCTTTGTACAGAAGTATTACTCCCCCCACCCTTGCCTCATATTGTTCTACATAGCTACGGTTCATTCACTGTGATGCTATGCTTTGTGAAGATGTCTCAAGTTCTGTATTCCACACAGCGGCATTTTAGTGGTTATAGGAGGCAAAGCTGTACCTCTGATTCGTTCTCACTACATTTTCATGGCATCTTCTGACAAACAGAAATTCTGACTTTTAATATAGTGACACTATTTCAATGTCCTTTCGTCAGCAGACTTTGGGTCTCATTTGGGAAGAACTTTCTTCTTTTCTTCACCCACCATCAGAAAATTCTTTCCTTACACATTTTCTTCCAAAAGTTTCACCTTTCCTAGTTAGGTTTTTTAGCATTTAAAATGCTATACATTTTGTAATGTAGAGATCCAATTTCCCCTTTTCCTGTAAGGCATGCTGATAGCTCTAGAATGATTGAGTAACTGCATTAATCTCTTTTCCTTGCTTTTCATGGCAGCTACACCACATATCAGGTTTTCATGTGACTTTCTACTTCTGGGCCCAGCAATCCACTCCAGACAGAATAGATCATCTGTTCCTGTGTCAGTACGATGCTATCTGTTATCTTTTGTAGTGGTGGGTGTAATACCCAGAGCATCATGCATGAGGCAAAGGATCTAGGGTTAGGCTGTGTGACAAGCCCCAAAGCTGTCTTATTGAACAACTTTACGAATGATCTTTACACCTGACAAGACACATCCTCAGTTTTAACACACATCCATGCATGCACACGAGCACTTGAGCACACACACTTCCCATAGGATTAGTTCATCAGATTAGCAACCGCAACAAAAAAAGGTGAGCTGGGTGTGGTGGCACACAGCTGCGATCTCAGCATTTCTGAGATGGGAACAGGAGACTCTTATCTTCCAGAGCAGCCTAGGTAATGTGGAACCTAGGCTTTGGAGAAACAAAATAAGCAAAGCAAAACAAAATAAACAAAATGAAGCTGGACATGGCAGTACATACTTGTAATCCTAACATTCAGGAGGTTGAAGCAGGAGGATTGCCACAAGTTCATGCCAGTCAGAACTACATAGCGAGACCCTGTTTCAAAGAACAAAAAACCAAACCAAGTCCAAACAAAATCAGCAAAAATGCTCTGATAGGATTTTGACTGGAATCACATTAGCAGGTCAGTTTGGGGGAAACTGAATTCTATGATATCGAGTGTTTTATCTACCATCATGTACCAGTTCTGACTTCTTTAAGGAACACTAATGAAGCTTTAGGCATTCCCAAGAAGTACTATAATATATATCCCTGTTGAGATTTCTTTCTTTTTTGAAAAAAATACGTGTGTGTGTGTGTGTGTGTGTGTGTGTGTGAACATGTGCCATATGTATATGGGTTCCTGAGGAAGCAAGAAGAGGGCCTTGGATCCTCTTGAGCTGTAGTAAAGGTGGTTGTAAACTACTCTTAGCGAATGATAGGAAACCTGGGTTCTCTTGAAGAACATTATCTTAGTTACTGTTCTATTGAAGAGAGACCATAACCAAGGCAACTCTTATCAAAGAAAACATTTAATTGGGGGCTTGCTACAGTTTCGGGGGGTTAGTCCATGATCATTATGGTGAGAAGCAGACAGGCGTGGCACTGGAGCATAGCTGAGAACTTTATATGCTGATGTACAGGCATCAGGCAGAGAGAGAGAAGAAGGAAGGGAGGGAGGAAAAGGAGGGAGGGAAGGGGAGAGAGAAAGAGAGGGAGAGAAGGAGGGAAGGAGAGAGAGAAAGAGGGAGAAGGAGGGGGAAGGGAGAGAGAAAAGGAGGGAGAGGGAGGGAGGGAGGGAGAGAGAAAGAGACAGACAGACACTAGACTTGGCATTGGCTTTTGAAACTTCAAAGCTTACTTCTAGTGACTCACCTCCTCCAAAAAGGCCACACCTCCTAATCCTATCCAAACAATTCATCACGGGCGATTAAGCTTGCAAGTGCATGAACCTCCGGGGGCCATTTTCATTCACACCACTACAAGCATCATGCATTCCTAACTGCTGAGTTCTCTTTCCAACCCCCAAAATTTATTTTTAAGGAGCAAGAGATCTAGCCCAGTGGTAGAATGCTTGCCTTGGTGTAAGGGTACTGAGTTTGATCCCCAGCACCGCAGCAAATAGAAAAACAAGAAGAAAAAAATTAAAAAAAAAAAAAAACTTTACTTCCAGGGTGAACTAGCTCAAGGGGTAAAAAGCACTTGCTACACAAACCCAACAAGCTGAGTTTAATCCCTAGAACATACCAAAAGATGTGGCATGTACCTGTAATCCTAGCATCCCAGGAGGCAGCCACAGGAGAAACATCTGGAAGCTCATACACAAGTTATCCTGCAGTACACAGAACAGCAGAAACCAGGGGCACCTTCCTTCAAAACCAGGTGGAAAGCTAAAAATGAACTCTAACTTCAACAAGCATGTACCCTCATGTACATACATGTGTGTAAACATAATACTAATAACAAATAAAAAATAAAATAACACACAAAAAAAATCCTGAAAGAAGATAGCAGCATTGCTCTCATGATTTCTGGCTCTTCTATGAGGCCAATCTTGGGTGCTAGAATTAGCAGAATTTCCTAGAGCCTAAGTTGATTAAAATCATTAGGAATTTGCTGTCGATACAGGGCTGGTTCACATGTAAAGAGAGAAAATAGGGTAAAGACAGCATACTGGTTTCCCTGTAAGAGTTTGTATCTACTTGTTGGGTAAACACTTTCTCATTTTCTTTTAAGAGTGAAAGAGGAACAAAAATAGACAAAAAGCAGAAAAGAAGGAGCATGAGAACTATGCAAAAGTTTTATATTATGTTAGATGAAAATAAAAAATTAGACAAATTCCACCTATATAACATAAATGTGACAGGGGACAACTGAGGGACAATGTACAAAAATAAAAGTACTGTAATTGGGTTAGGAGAGGCTTCTAAGTTGAAAAGTATTTTTGATGGCCATATATTCTTTTTAGTAAAACAACAAATGACTAGGGCTTGAAATTTTATCAGTAACAGGAATATTAAAAAGCACTACAAAGACTTCTCCTAACCTACCATTAATATCAGCACACGGCATTTATCTGTGCCAGGCACTGTTCTAAGTGCTTTATGTCATAAAAATCTGAAAATTTGGGTCTCCCTCTCCCTCCCTCTCCCTCCCCCCCGCTCTCTCTCTCATCACAGGTAGCCTAAGCTGGCCTCTATGAAGTATGGACTTCTAATCCTATCTGTCTCTATCTCCCAAAAGTTTCAATTACAGGTATGGGTCATTACACCCTACTTTTTCCCTTTAAAAATGATTGGTTTATGTTTTTTTTTTTTGTGTGTGTAGGGCATTTTACTTACATGTACATCCATGTACCATGTGCATACCCAGCACCCACTAAAGCCAGAGAGGGCATGGGATCCCCATAAGTGGAGTTACAGACAATTGCAAGCCACCATGTGGGTGCTGGGAACTAAACCGGAATCCTCCATAAGAGCAAGTAATCTTAAGCACTGAGCTATCTCTACAGCCCCAAATAAACATTTTTGAGGCAGGAAGAGTGTGAGGTCAAGACCAGCATGAGAAACAGCAAAAGCCCAATTCTTACCATCATTGCTGGATTCTTCAACGGGAGATGGTGAGTCTCTATGCTCTTGGATGTCTTTTGGGATCTCAACCACTTGCAGCCTTCTGACACAAAGTAGGTTTATATCCTTCAACCCTTCCTCCAGTTGTCTGATCACTTCTTTTCCAGGCTGAGAAGTCAGGACAGTAATCTAAAGCGAAATTCATGAAGATAATGAATATGTTTGCTTTTCTTGATATCTAGAGTGAGAAACATACAATCTATTCTGGAAGACAACATTTAAAGTCTCTAGTAGTAGCTATTGTGTTTAGTACAAAGAGAGAGATTTAAAAATAATTTAGAAATAAAACTTCACTTGATCTTAGTCGGCAGGTTAAGAATGTTACAAATAAAGTTTCATGTGACAGATTCCAATGAAACAGGCAGTCATCAGAAATCCTTTCCAGTAATCCCAGATAGTTTCTAGACGGTGTCCAGACAGTGACCAGAGAGAAGCCATGCGCTCTGGTCTTTCTCTTATTCATCCTGGGTAAAAAACATTAAACACTGGTAGCATTTCATCTGCTCAAAGTATTTTCTTTCAGAGGAAAGCAGAGGAACAGGGTACTGAGGTTCTCACACTACAGAAGTACTACATTTTAGAGAGCTCATCTCCCAGTGGAGTTTCCATTCTCAGATGTGGTGTGGGACAATGGTCTATAGTCTGTCAATTATATTTTAAATAAATGCTGATTGGCCAGTAGCCAGGCAGGAAGTGGAGGTGGGACAACCAGACAGGAAGTAGAGGCAGGTTAATGAGAACAGGAGAATTCTGGGAAGAAGGAAGTCTTAGTCTGCAGTCCTGACCCAGTCACAGAAGAAGCAAGATGTGACTACCTAGCTGAATAAGGTACCAAGCCACATGGCTAACATAGACAAGAATAATGGGCTAATATAAGTTATAAGAGTTAATAAGAAGCCTGAGCTAATGGGCCAATCAGCTTATAACTAATATAGACCTCTGTGTGATTTCTTTGGGACTTAATGATTGCAGGAACTGGGCAGGACAGAAAACCAGAAACCCAACAACAGAATGGCAGAAAACTCAGTCAACACAGATTGATTCCCTGTTTTTTCAGCATGGATCCAGAGAAACGATTTCATTTGATTCTAAAATGTACTTAACCCTTGACCAGTATGTTGGGCATGAAGAAGTATTAAGGCATTTGTGTATAATTAGGATCTTTTTATGCCATAGAAATGAATGTTTTTAATAATCAGTTTTGCCTTGGATTTTGAGACTCTGGAAGATAATTGTATACACAATTATTTTTTTATGTAGATGTTTTTAATTAGCCAAGAGGGATATAGGTCAAAGCACAATTGCTAGTACTATTTCAGAATGCTTTACTGTTGTAGAGTAGTTTTCGTTTTACAGTAACACTGAGAACTAGAGTTACAGATACTTATGAGCCACCACAAAGTGTAACATGATGGGGCTTGCTTGTTTGGGTATCTGCCCTGCCCAGTTCCCCACAGCTGGCAAGCCCCAAAGAAAATCACATAGACTCTACATTAGGTTATAAACTGATTGGCCCATTAGCTCAGTGTTCTTATTAGCTCTTGTAGCTTATATTAACCCATTGTTCTTATCTATGCTAGCCACATGGCTCAGTACCTTTCACAGCTGAGCAGATTACATATTGCTTCTTGGTGGTCTGGGAAGAAATGGGGGAATGGGCTTCCTCCTTTCCAACATTCTCCTGTTCTCATCGCCCCACCTCTACTTTCTGTCTGGTTGACCTGCCTATACTTCCTGCCTGGCCAATCAGCATTTATTTAAAACATGATTGACAGAATACAGACAATTCTCCCTCACCAATGAAGGTGCTGGGAACAAATACCCAGTCCTCTGGAAGAGTAGCCAAGGCTCTTAACTACTGAGCCATCTTTCCAGCTCAAGTTCTTTATATAGTGTGAACATCCATTAACTGTCTGATAAATGACTAGAAAGGATTTTCTCTGATTTTGTTTTCACTCTGCTGATTCTCTCCCTGCCTCCCTTTCTCTCATCCCCCCTCTCTTTCTTTTTGAGACAGGGTTTCTCTGTGTAGCACTGATTGTCCTGGAACTTGCTCTGCAGACCAGGATGGTCTTGAACTCACAGAGATCCCCCTGCCTCTGCTTCCTGAGTGCTGGGATTAAATGGAAGCACCACCATTACCCTGATTGATTGTTTCTTTTGTGGAGCCAAAGCTTTTAAATTTAATGCAGCCCCTTTATATATTATTTGTATTATTGCTTGAGCTATTGGAATCCTATTCAGAAAATCATTGTGTATGCCTCAAGTGTTTCCCCTTAATTTTTCTCTTATAGTCTTATTGTTTTAGGTCTTGCATAAAGGTCTATGATGTCTTTTGAGTCTATTTTTTGTAGAGGGCAAGAGAAAAGAATTTGCTTTAGTCTTCTACACATGTATATCCCAATTTCCCAGCACTGTTTCTCAGAGGGGCTGTCCTTACTACAATGCATGCAATACTTCTGAGTGCTGTGAATATAACCAAGACAGACAGTCCTGTGGGTGTGGTTTTATTTCACGCATCACTTGTTCACTGTGGTATATCGGAAAGTGATAGACTTTTGTACAGTAATATTTACTTTGTAGATTGCAACCTTCCTAGTGGCTTATTGGTTTCAGGTGGGTTCTGCTGTCATTGCTAATTCTTTTGTGTGTTATTTGAAGAAAAATGTTTTATTTTTTCTTTCCCAGGCTGTAGATACAATGCTACCCAGAGTGCTCCTTATTATACGTTTAAGGTGATAGAATCTATAGCAATGCCTTCATTTTCATTTTGGATGTTAGTATTTTATATTACATTCTCTCCTCTTTTTCATAATCTGGTTAGAGTTTATCAATTTTATTGATCACTTCAAAAAACCAGATTTTACTTTTCTAATTTCAACTTCATTGATTTCTGCTCTATCCTTATTATTTCTCTTCTGCTTATTTGGACTTTATGGTCTCATTTATTTTTAGTTTCCTAAAGGGAAAGCTTAGACTATCAGATATATTTTTTCTAATATATGAATTTGGTACTATTTTCCTCTAAGCACTGTTTTTTTTTACTCTATCCCACAAATTTCAAGTTGTGTTTTCATTTTTTTCTTAGTTCAAAATATTTTTGAACTTTTTGAGAGTTTTCCTTCTCTTTGCTTCATTCTCATCTCTCTCTCTCTCTCTCTCTCTCTCTCTCTCTCTGTTTGTGTGTGTGTGTGTGTGTGTGTGTGTGTGTGTGTGTGTTGACCTTTTCAGCTATCTTTGTTTTCTTTTGTTTGCTTTTTCTCTATGTAGACCTTGAATTCACAGAAATCCACCTGCATCTGCCTCCATAGTGTTTGGATGAAAGGCATGTGCCATCATACTTGGCTTTTCCAGTTTTCTTTGGAACTGGTTTCTAGTTTAATTTCACTGTGGTCTGAGAGCAGACACTAGATGATTTTTGTATGAAATTGCTAGGTGTAGTATGAGCTGGCTTGTTGGGGTTTCTGTCCAGCCCAGTACCCCAACAGCCGGCAAGCAACAAAGAAAATCACACACAGGACTCCATAAGATTATAAACTGATTGGCTCATTAGGTCAGGCTACTTATTAGTTCTTATGACTTATCTTAACCCATTATTCTGATCTATGTTAGCCATATGGCTTGGTACCTTTTTCAGCTGGGCAGGTTACATGTTGCTTCTCTGGTGGTCTGCGCAGGAGTGGCAGAGGAACCTCTCTCCTCCCTAGCCTTATCCTATTCTCATTACTCCGCCTCTACTTCCTGTCTGGTTGACCCGCCTATACTTCCTGCCTGGCCAATCAGCGTTTTATTAAAATACATGATTGACAGAATACAGACAATTCTCCCACACCATTTCCCTCTTTTTTTTTTTTTAAACAAAAGAAAATACCCATAGTCCATTTGTTGGGAATGTGGGCGTAGTATTTCAGGCTACTTCCTGCTGGTTGGGGGCGCTGATGATCTTATGGGGACCTAAAGAAAATTTAGAGCTATAATCAAGTCCTGACTGGAGTATCCTGTGAGTCTTGATCATCTCAGGCAGCAGTCTTGAATCTGTTCTGGATGTAGAATTCAGACATCTGGGCCATCTGTTCCTGTCGGAGATTTCTCAGGTGGCCTTCCTTGTTCATACTGGATTTTTCTTAACTCAGAATGAATCCACAACCTCTCATTTTCTGTAGAAACAAAAGCAAAATCTCTTCTCCAAAGTAACATATCTTTTGACTTCAATTTTGAAGCCAAGGTATTTTCAAAATACCTATCTTGGGTTAGTTCAGCAGCATTTATAAACAAAAGTCTTTTAGCAGCTGTTGCTCCTTCCTCAGCATTCAAACAATTCAAAGAGAGAATAATAGCATACAGTATCAAGATTCTCTGTTTATTTTCCATCTTTATGCAGCTTTATTTCAACCTCTATTTCTTTTATTTTTACTTTTACTTTTTGAGATAGGTTCTCTGTATATCTTTGTCCTAGAATAACTCTGTAGACCAGGCTGTCCTTGAAGTCACAGAGATCTGTCTGTCTCTGTCTCCCAGGCATTGGGATTAAAGGCGTGTGCTACCACACTTTGAAGTCACAGAGGTCAATCTCTACCTCTGTCCCTTGAAGTCACAGAGGTCAATATGCCTCTGTCTCCCAGGCATTGGGATTAAAGGTGTGTACCACCACACCCTATATCTCCCTTTCTTTCTTTTTTATTTTTAATGACTTTAGCCTTTTAGCCTGCATATATTTTTGACACACTGTAAACCATTTAGAGGTTTTCTTTATCTTTGAATCTCTCTTTTTCTGACCACATGAGTCTTTAAGGAGAGGACTAAAACTGTGGCTTTTATGGCTGGAATTAGCCCATTCCTTAGCTTTCCAGCCCCGTGGCTGAGGTACCAGCCAGAGCTGTGTTCACTGCCACAACTCTATGGCGTTTCAAGGTCCTTGCTAGCAAGCAAGTTGCAGCATTCTGCTCAGAGACCACACTCAGTCAGATTGCCTGCCTGAAAGAGTCAGAGTTTGACCTGGCAGGACAGCCCAGAAAGCCGGCATTTTAAAACAGCGCAGCTTTTTTCCTGCTATGGCTGAAGACCGAAAAGCATGTGTTCAGCTTTTCGTCAACACCATTTAAGTGTTTCGTGGCAGGACCTCTTAAAAG